AATTTTTCCAAAAATGTTTTAATTTCCTCAAAATTACCAAAAGTGGGGTACCACAAAACTACAAAAACAGAGAGTACAAAAACTTGTCACTATCAAAAACTGTCATTATAACTCAAAATGAAGATCACTACAGAAACCGAACCGAAAACCGGCTCTGATACCAATTGTAAACGTTAAAACTCAGAACCGTCACACCGACACCAGAGTCACACCAACACGAGAGTATAACGTGGTTCACCCTCAAAGGCTACGTCCACGGGGAGAAGAGCACTGGAGAGTTTACTGCTTGAATGCTTGAAGTGATACTCTTCCTATCATCCTCAGGGTATATATACCCAAGGTAGTCAACCACCTAAGCTATAATTAGCTACATATGCGGTTAACCAAGGTTAACTAACCTCAGTCAACTCCTTAACCAGAGTTAATATCAACGGAGATTACATGATAAGAGTATGTTAAGACGTCATAAACACACCAATCTATATCTACTAAAAGACATTATCATATGTGATGAAGTCAATTTTATTATATTTTGAATCAAGATGTTTCATGTATAGCAAGACAAAAAATATTATCACACATGAATTATAGATAGGTGTCACTTCTAGATGTTATGAGATTGTTACCTAACATAGGTAAAATTAATTCAAAGTTTTGCAAATATTGTGTTATGAACAAGCATCATAGGAAAACTTTTGGTATTAAAATTCACAATTTCAAGAAATTATTTAAGTATGTATTTAAGTATTATTTAAATGACGTGTAGGAATTTTCTACAAAAAATTCTCTGTTTTGGAAATTCAACTATCTATTATTTATTGATGATCATTCAAGGTTTTTATGAATTTACTTTTTCAAACATAGATTTAAGTTATTAACAACTTTCAAAATTTGGAAAACTCAAATTGAAACTTATAGCGGACAGAAGGTGAGATATTTATGTACAAAAATGATGCAAATATAATTTTTTCAATTTTTGAAGTTTATGCGAAGAGGAGTAAATTACACGTCATCACATCACAATATATAATCCACAACAAAAAGTTGTTTTTGATAATCTCAAAGGATGAGCATCAGAGTGAAACACATCAATGTCAAATATTACTTTATTAGACATGATAATAACAAGACATTTTATGATAAAAAGATTGAGCTAATCAAGATTGTTAATAAATTCAACCTAATTAATGCGTTTATCAAATTCTTTCATGACAAAAGTTTTAGTAGATATTGTGCTGGAGTAGTTTGAAGTTTTGCAGGAGAAGCAAAAGTAAAGTTTACTAGCAATTTACTTTGTATATTTTTAATTTTTCCTAATTTAGCTAAAACTTAGTTCTAATTAGCTCTAGTTAGAAAAAGATTATGTGTTATGTTTCTTTTTAAAACTTCCAGCAAAGTTATCTATATAGATTATGGAAACCTCTGTATCCTCGACATCAGTTGAGGGCAAGATTGTTAGGTTTAACTCTTGTTGATTGTCGGGTGCGTTTCCAAATGACAAGTGGTAGGTTTAAAATATGACTACAACTTCTACTATGAAATTACTTACGACATTTTGCGTCTCTAAGCTGCCTAGTAGGCATTGTCAGTAACATTTGAAAAACTTACGTCAGTAGTATTTGCAGCCACATGAATTCAATTTAGAAGACGCCATATACATTATCAGTAGCTAGTTAAAAACAAGCGCTAAAATATGATACTTCAATATGGACACAACGTGTACTACTTGCCTAGGTTGTTTTGATGATCATGAATGAAGTATGTACAGATATCGAACGGAATGGGAGTGATACTTGGTTCGCTTCAACTTATTCTCTATGTTGTTTACAGAACACGTGTGGATGTCGGTAAATCTACAGATCCCCAATCGGCAGTGCCGGTTGAGCATGCAGAGGCACCGTAACTCTAGGGGATAACATGAAACAACACTGCAAAATTTTAGTGTGGTTTCAAACTTAGTGTACGATGGACGCAAACTATGAGGGTGTCCAGATCAACAGACTTGATTTTAGTAATGACTGACTCAAGAGGAATAATCAGCTCGTTACACACAAATCACTTGGTGCATTTTTCATCGACAGGTTTTTTCAGCTATCGGACTCAAACTTTTCTGCTGTAGAGATAGGATAGTTAATCTTCACTCAAAACTGAAAAAGTAGCTCCGCTTTAATCTAGTATTTAATCCTCTGGAAGAGTACATTTCATGCTCAAAGACATGATATGAAGAAGCCACCTCTGTAGATTATTTACTTTTGTCGCGAATGCTAGGTGATATGTAGGCATACTGGTTCTAGAATCACATGACTTTGCTGCTGAGTTCTTTATCTCTTATTCTGGGCGACAAATGATGAAGAGTTCTTTAAAAAGGTGCTAGTGAATGAACACTCCAGTAATGAGAAATACTATCATAGAACAAAGCTAATTTTTTCACTCGAATCAATCACTTTGTTATTCACCATCCAGTTACCTGTAAAAAGCACAGTCGTGCTCTTCTATGACTAAACGGTGTATGGAGTTTACTTAAAAACAAAATCAGGGTAAAAATATATCTTATTTCCTGTAAAAGGTTTGTAAAAGGTCTGTTTAAAATGCAGAATATCGTCAACCTCATGAAAATTTTATTACATTATTCTAAAGCAGTGCTGAATCTCAATCGCTATGTTTATGTAGTATGTTTTTGCTAACTGTAGCATAGGTCGCCCAACACTCTACGTTTTTGGAGTTATTGATAGGTATTGAGTAACAAAATTTTCATTAGGTTGACAATATTCTGCATTTAAACAGGAAATGGCATATTTCTTTACCCAGATTTAGTAAGTAAGCTCCATACAACATTATAGAAGAGTCACAACTGTGGTATTTACATATTACTCTAGAGTTATTAACAAGGTGATTGATTCGAGTGAAAAAATTACCTTTGTTCTGTGACAGTTTTTTTTAATTCTGGGTGCTCATTCACTGGCACCTATTTAAAGAATGCGTTGTCTTTTGTCGCCCTGAGTAAAAGATATGAAACTTAGCAGCAAAGTCATGTGATTCTAGATCCAGTATGTCTACATGTCACCTAGCATTCGTGACAACAGTAAATCTACAAAGGTGGCTTCTTTATATCATGTCTTTGACCATGTAGTGTACTTTCCCAGAGGATTAAAAACTAGATCACAACGACGCTACTTTCTCATCATTGAGAGTAGATTAATTCGGGATCTGTAGATTTACCTAGATTCACACGTTTTGTGTAAACAGTGTAGAGAATAAGTTGAAGCGAACCAAGTATCACCCCCATTCTGTTCCGTATATGTATATATTTCATTCATGATCATCAAAACAACATAGGCAAGTAGGACATACTACAGCAATCGCACACAGAACACCGGTGAAAGTTTCTCTTGTGTTCGTGTGGTCATCATCGAAACCTTAGATGTTCAAAACTGCCACTGCTATTACTATCGCAGCAGCAACACACATCAAGCCCGTGACGATTACCTGCAGGTAACCCAAGGAATAACATCAATTTGCATGTGGTAAATAATTGCTATCGACAAGGAAACCATATTGAAAGTTTTGCTCTAGAGCTTCCGTCAAAGCAGCTTACTCGCTTTTGGGCTGCTGTAGATAATGTATACACAGATGTAAAGTATCTCGAGGAAAACCCAGATTGCATTGATAATTACTAATCACCCTTATGCACCAATGGTGATCCATATATGAACCAAAGAGCACAATTGAGCAAAGTAGCGATGTACGGGTATGCAGTAAATTCGCCGGAGGATTCTGTTTTGTAGATTGTCCAGAATGTGCGAAACCTGGAATTACAAGTCGTTAACTCTTGCCCAAGCTTTGCAAAGGAGGTGCACTCATGAGCATTTTTTCTATTAACCATCAACCACCCTTCATGTGACAACTCCAAGTCTGAGAAATTCGATGGTGTAAAAGCTTCTTACGCTGAACTCGCGAACAGACAACATGGAAGTAATATTTCCAAGTATCCCAACGATCAACTGTCCTCTGTTTACCATCTTGTACGATGACTGAGTACACTTCGGAATTTGCACTAAACCGGCGAAGCTGTGTTACTCAGAGCTTCGCCAGTTTAGGGTGGTGAAGACAAGATGGTGAACACAGGACAGTTGATCGTTGGGATACTTGGAAATATTACTTCGCTTTAGTGCAAATTCGAACGAGAACGCGGAAATAAAAAACTTCGAGGCACCGGATGGTATTGTGTAAAACCAGGAGCAGGGGTGCGCATGTGACCAACACGCTCGATCTGCCCGAGCCTGAGATCAGATAGCCATCTTCCGCTCGTCTGTAGACCGATAGCCGGTCTAGAGAAGGTCAGGAACAGCGAGAATCCGGAGAGTACAAGCACGTCTTGCTGCTCAACGTCCGCTGCTACGATGGAATCTGAACGATGAAACGAGCGCGAGTAGCAGTGACAGGATTCTGATCGATGATACGAGCGCGAGGAGCAGCAGTGATAGCAGTCGAAGAAACTGGGCAAGTTGGCAATGGTACTTTTTTTGCTTCAGTTCATCAACATAAACTCTTGCAAACTTGATAACATTCTACTTATAAACGTTAAACGTTAGCAACGTATAAACCCAATATTCACGCATGCAGAGAAGGTTTCCGATGAGCAAGTGCATTTCTCACGCCAGCCAGACAAGAACGGGTATAAACTTCACCTCAATGGTTTGATTCTATTCTGAACATTTGAATTTTGAGTCCGTTTCCTCCATCCCCCGGATAGGGGTAAGATTGAATACTTTCAGTTACTTGGAATCTCTCGACAGTATCCAATATTCGAACAGAGAATATTGACGTTTCTCTTCACACTCTCTCGTTAGCAACGTCATCCATTTACAAATAAGTCCAAAGCTTACTAACGATATTATAGCTTACCGTCCACACGTTATTTGTTATGATGCCTTGGCTGGGAAAATCTTTGAGAATTTAAATCAGTCGATATGGATACAAACACGAGTGCAGTCGTGTTTGTGACAAGGTTCATGTCTCAATGCATGCAAGACACAATGATTATAAGTGCATGCAAGACACAATGTGTGAAGTAGAGAATGTGCAATACGGCTGGGGATGTCTCTTGCGTGCTCTTACTTTTCATTGTGGCCGTGTAATTTGTAGTACAATCTCACCGGAGTTGATACGCAGCTTTGGGTCACAATCAGCTATCCTTGTACATGTGATCAAAATCACTGATTTGAGTACAAGCACTGGCATGAGACATGAAGTCTTGAAGTCTGTCATGAAAGGATAAGTGGCGCTCGTCAGAAGAGCTGCATCGGAGGCCAGCATCCTATCCATTCGCTTTCGCGCTTCGAGTGTTGCTGAGATTCTTCTCATTCTCGTGATTCGTTTGTTTACCTGTGGTGAAGTGGATACGCTCTTGCCATGCCATGCAATTCCAATGTCATGATCTGACTGGGGCAGCTGGCGAGCTATGGTTAGTGGTCACCGTAACAGTCGTCTTGATTTCTTCCTGCTGTCTCCTTTGTAACTCTTGTGTACAGTGTGTGAGACTCTTCTGCGACGGATGATGATTAACACATTCGTCCTCTTCTGAACCTCGTCGGAGAAGGTTTTACTTCGTCGAGCGTCTGTACAGTCGCTGGTCGGTCGACCTCTTCAGTATGTCATGCTGCCTCCATTCCCTCAAATCAGCTTTCTGAAGATTTGTCAAACTCTTTTCTGCTCGTGCTTCCTTGTCTGAGAACTCGTCACTGCAGAGGTGTTCCGGCCTGCCTGCTTGTGTATATGGTGCCAGGCCCTCTGCCTACTGCTCGTGTCCAGGCGCTTCGCTCTCCACGAGCGCTCACTTTGCTCTCCGTACATGTACACTCACTACTTAACCTGCCACAGTCTGTAGAGCTAGTTCTTCTGAAAGCTGCAACTCGCTGGGCACTCCTGGTTCATCGCGAATATTTCACACTCTCGTAAGGATCTCGCCGGCTTCAGAGTGAGAAATCGTCATCTGTGAAGATGTCGGAAGGCCGCTTTGAAGGCCGTAAGTTCTACTTCCCAACAAATCATTCACTGGTTCATCTTTTCAACAGGTGAGACCATCCGCCAATCTTGATATATGCTGCGATGTCCGGGTATGGATTAAATTCGCCGGAGGATTCTTGGAGTTGTCACATGATGCCATAAAGGGTGGTTGATGGTTAATCGAAAAAAAACTCATGAGTGCACCTCCTTTGCAAACCTTTGGCAAGAGTTAACTACTTGTAATTCCAGGTTTCGCCCATTCTGGACAATCTACAATACAGAATCCTCCGGCGAATTTATTCCAGACCCGTACATCGCAGCATATATCAATTGTGCTCTTTGGTTGATGTATGGATCACCATTGGTGCATCAAGCTGTAATCAGTGCAATCGGGATTTTACTTGAAACACTTTACATTTGTGTCTATATCTTCTACACGAGCCAAAAAAAGCGAGTAAGCTGCTTTGACGGAAGCTCTAGAGCTAAACTTTCAATATGGTTTCCTTGTCGATAGCGATTATTTATCACATGCATATTGACGTTATTCCTTCGGTTACCTGCAGGTAATCGTCACGGGCTTGATGTGTGTGGCTGCTGCGATATTGATAGCAGTGACAATTATGAACATCTGCGGATTCGCTGATGACCACACGAACCGTAGAGAAACTTTTACTGGCGTTCTGTGTGCGATTACTGGAGTGTGTATGTAATTCTCTCCTCTTCTAGTAATGGTAAGAATAATACTCAGCCAAGAGAAGTCCAAGAAGCGTTTCTCTAATTCCGTAATGTGGAAAGAATCTCATTCAAACAATGTTGTACGTGGCACAGCGATTAGTCGTCAAGACGAGATCCGTGGAGTACATGCCACTACCAATGTCCATCTTCGTACTGCTGAACGGGATCATCTGGATGGTTTACGGCTTAATCGAACATCCCGTCAACTTATATATCACGGTATGAAATTACTTATGACACTTGCATGTCTAAGCTGCCTAATAGGCGTTGTAAGTAGCATTTGAAAAGCTAACGATATTTGCAGCCTCATGAATACAATTTAGAAGACGTCATATACATTATCAGTAGCTAGTTTAAAACAAGCGCTAAATTATGATACTCCAATGTGGACACAACGTGTCCTATTTGCCTCCGTTGTTTTGATGATCATGAATGAAATATGTACAGAAACCGAACGGAATGGGAGATACTTGGTTTGCTTCAACTTGTTCTCTACGCCGTTTTCAGGAAGCGTGGGGATCTGTACAGATCGAGAGATCCCGAATTCGCAGTGCAGGTTGAGCATGCAGAGGCCCCATAGTTCTAACTAGGGGATGGCATGACACAGCACTGCAAAATCTTAGTGTGGTGTCAAACTTAGTGTAGGATGTACGCGAACTATAAGGGTGTCCAGATCAGACTTGATTTTAGTAATGACCGACTCAAGAGGAATAAGCAACGCGTTACAGACGAATCACTTGGTGCATTTCTCATCGTCAGGTGTTTTCAGCTATCGGACCCACACTTTTCTGCTGTGGAGATACGATTGTTAAACTACTGTGGTACCCCACTTTTGGCAATTTTGAGGAAATTAAAACATTTTTGGAAAACTGTACCCTGGCAGCATTGTAAATAGCCTTCGGTACATCAAAACAGAGTGAATCCGGAAGATCGCGGGAATTCTCGAGGGATCTTGTAGAATCTGGGATTTGCGAAGTCCGCCTACGCACAGGCACCACCCTCCCTGCGAGCTCCGCAGTTAGGATCTCTACAGCGCAAGGCGCAAAATCCGCCTTCGGAGGTTGCGTCCGCGGCTGTAGGGAAACCCCCGTAATTAGGTCAACCCTCGGGCGCCTTGACCAAGTTAGGATCCCGTTGGAAAGAGCTCGACGCGCTGATTCCAACGAGCCCAAGAACGCTTGGAACGGACGAGGACTTAGGGAGTTATCGCTACTGGAAGAAACGGAGGCGGTCGCCCCCGGCGGAAGGATTTCGCCACCGGCGCGAATTCCGCCTGCGCGGAAGGGGAATTCAAGTTTTGTCCTATGCGCGGACGAAGGCGTTCGCCTGTGCGCAGGCGAAGTAGGGTTAGGGAAGGCGCGGAGTCCGCCTACGCACAGGCGTTCGCCTGTGCACAGGCACTTCGGCGTCGGCGGGAAATCCGCCTTGGGCCCTAGAAATGCGCCTTGTGAGGTAGAAAGTGTACGGCGCCTTCCGCGCCAGCGCAGCGCAGCGTACGTAGGAAGAGCCGCCAGAGTAATCCAATAGGTACGGACCGTGCGGACGGCACGGGTGGATGCGCTCTTGGACGGACGGAGTTGCGGCGGCGGAAGCGCCGACGGAGAGACAAGGAACGGACAGATTGGACGGAGACGGCTGACCACGGTCAACGCCTTCCGCGCCAGCGCAGCGCCGCGGACGGAATTCGCCTGCGCACAGGAGAACGCCTGTGCACAGGAGGATGTTCAAGTTCCGCGCCGGCGGAGGATCCGCCGAGGCCCCTGCCTGCGCACAGGCAGGAGTTGAATTTTTGTCCGACATGCGGACACACGCGTCAAGGCAGAAGGAGATTGGCCGAGGGGCGGTACGAACAAGTGTACCGCGCAAGGCGGAAAACTCGCCTTCGGCGCTACGCCCCCATGTCCGGAGGGTGACACGCTCGCGGAGTTCAAATCCGCCAATTCGAGCGTGAGAGTTTAATCGACGACGGCGGAGCGTGAAGCCGCGCGTGAGAGCGAAGACCGTTCCAGCGTACAGCCGGCGCGGCCATCAAGTGAGACGTTCTTCACGACCAAGAGACGACCATGACCTTCGACCGGGCGGCGGAGAGCGTCCCATTCTTGAATTCGCGATTCCAATCTCTTGTGCGCGCTGCGCGCATCCATCTGCTGGCTGCGGACCATTCTCGTCGTCGTCGCACAGGAGATTTCTTGTTGATTGAGGGAGAAGTGAGTGCGCGTGATTTGGAATTGAGAGCGATTAGAGTTTGCCGAGAGAGAAAGAAACGCGGACAGTGCGGAAGTAGAATGAGCGGGCGAGCGAACCCCAGGAACGCAATGACGAGACCGAGCAGATTGCGGATGGTGCCACTTCGCCTGCCGCAGAACGGGCTGCGCGCTTTCGAGGAGCGCTTAATAGCAAGAAAGCTCGATTTCTTGCTATGGGGATGGAATTACATCTGCGCGAATATGGTGCGCGAGTGGCTAGAGCCACAGGGACCACCCTCGCGCGGATTGCGTCCGCATGTTGACCGGTGGACAGTCCAAGATTGGGCGCAGGCGTTGGGAAGATGTGCTGGCATGCCAGGGCATCTCCTTTTCGACAGCGAGAGCATCAAGGTGACCAAGCAAGAAGAGGCGCAATTTGTGGAGCTGTTCAAGACCGGGAGGTCTACCAAGAATGGGTACAGGACCCGTGATTACAAGGATCGATTTCGCCGAACCTTGTCCGCGGCGCTGATGCAATTACTGCAGCCGCACCGCGCCTGCTACATCACATTGTGGCAGGTCTCTTTTGTGGAGTGCGTCATCGAGGGAACTCCAATTCACTGGGCGAGCATCCTGCACAGGGTGATGCGACAGCACGCGTTTGAGGAGAAGGGGGGAACGCTAAACCATCTTTCTCCTTTCCTCATCAATTTTTATCGACAGCGGAATTGTTTGACAGCGGCAGAGCTTGAACATTTTCCGCCATTGTCCATCGACCATCCCGGGAAGTATGTGCGGGAGAACGAGGTCGATACTGACGCAGAGGAGTCACCGACTTCTACCCCATCAAGACGGAGGGACGAAGGACGACACACTCCTGCAGCGCGAGTGCCGCGGAAGCGGCGATGGAGGGAAGAGTCCGAAGAGGAGCAGCATCAAGAACCCTCTGCTCCCATTCGACCGCGGCCGCTGTGCGAGCCATACAGCCGGCCGAAGCAGAAGGCACGCAGACTGGTGTTGCCAGCTGACAGTGCAGACACGGCGACGATTGCGACGGAGATAGGAAGTGCGTCGCCAGAGAGACGAGAGGAAGCGCGGACGACCGCAGGAGCAGCGGGCCACGCTGCAACCTCGTCGGGAGAGAGGCCGCCTACGGGCCAATGGCCTCCGGAGTTACCACGTGCGATGCGGACAGATGTTCCGTTTGCGCACAGGCGAACCTCCGCGGACGGACGAGCCTCCGCGGACCGGCGAACACAAGTGGACGTGGATCTACGCTTACGCGTGGGAAGGAGCAGTCCGCCTGTGCACAGGCGCTCGCCTGTGCACAGGTCGCCTGTGCACAGGTCACCTGTGCACAGAACACCTCCACACGTGCCGCCTGTGCACAGGCAAGAATCACCCCCGTTCCAACGTAGGAAGGGGAAGGAGCCGGCGGAAGAACCGCCTACGAGACACCGGCCCTCGGGGCCAGACCCACCGGCGCACCACGCGCCGCAATTCGCGCCTTCGGCGCCAGGGCCTTCGAGCCGAGGAGATACGAGCAGAGAGCGTGCGGAGGCCGCACCATCGGCGGGAAGTCCGCCGATAGATGCGCCTTCGGCGGTAGGGCCTATAGGCCAAGGAGCATCGGGCGTGCGGCCCCCGGCCATGTCGCCTTCGGCGATAGATGTCCGCGGCGCTACGCCTGCGGCGGACAAGGCGCCGGCAAATGCGCCTGCGCACGGGCCGGGCACAGCCCCCACGGACCGATCGAGGGAGCAGCAGACGGAGGAGCGGAGTGACTGTCCGCGGGACGACATCTCGATGCGCGATGCGCAATCCAACCCCGCGCAGCCACCCTCCGCTCGATCGCCTTCGGCGACGGACGACAGAGACAGAGAGAATGCGGTAGGCAATCAACCAGCGAGCGACGGGGATGCCGCTCGGATACATTCGCCTTCCGCCTTAGACATTTTGGCGACGAGCAGCGAGGCTGCAGCCGTGCCTTCGCAGGCAGCACACGTCGAGGACGTGCAGCCCCACTCGGGGCAGTCGCCGACGCAATCAATGGCGACTGAAATTCTCCACTCGGATGATGAGGACGGAGGCTCCACGGAAGAAATGTCAGGAGCAGAAGACACCGAGGAGGAGGAGGAGGAAATTGTTGGAGCGCCGGCGGCGGCGCTCTCTGAGCAGGTGATTCCGTTGCTGCGGTACTTGGATCGCAAGGTCGATAAATACGCCGACCCACTCCAGCCGGGATCTTACATCGAGTTAGTGCGCAGGCGGACTCGCACTAAAGTCCACACCAGCAAGCTATTAGCTAGAGTGGACCAGGAGTTGAGGGACTTGAAGGAGAAGCATGAGTGCTTGTGGGGACAGTACAAGCTTAATCAGAAATTCTACAAGCACTCCGAGAAGATGAAGGATGAGAAACTGGGCGAGCTCACCAAGGAGCAGGTGAAGGTCAAGGAGGCACTCAACTCTGAGCAGGCCCAGAATCGGATTTTGTCAGAGGAGCTCGTGCGACAGACGCGGTTGTTGGAACAATGTCAGCTCGCACGGCAGGCGGATGAAGAATTAATCCGCAGTCTGCAGTCAGAGTGTGGCGAATTGAGGGCGCAACGTGCTGAAGCCGAATCGCAATTAGTGACCATTGAAGAGGATCGCAGGAAGGAGGCGGATCGCACGAAGGTGGAGACGGCGAGGCGAGTCGCCCACTGTCTCAAGGGCTACGCCCACTGGGAAGTGAAGGCGCAGGAGAAACTCACACTGCGTGAGTTTGAATTGCGCGCAGCCGGGTTGTTGTCAGGCGACAGTAGGAGTCGGCGGAAGGTAGCGAAGAAGCTCGAGGCCTTTCTGTCGAAGGCACAGGATACCATGTCCGCCCTCGAGGGGGAGGTGTCCGCGGCGTTGCAGCGGTTGGGGCTGCGTAGTCGAGCGGAAGAGTGGCAGGGTAGGGAGTTAGTGCGCGGCAGTCGGCCGCGTAGGAGACGTAGTACAGGTTCCGCGGAGTGTAGTGTAGCGTGGTTCCGTGCAGGCGTGTAGCGTAGTGCAGTGTAGTGTTAGGTAGGACCTAGAAGGTATAAAATAGTTCCAGGCGTTTTGCCTGGGGTTCTTTCCCAAACTCAAAAGTATAGATCAGGAACCCATTTCCTTTGCGTGTTTGTGTCCTTGAGTTCTGTCACCACGCATGAGGAGTTACAACTTAGCGTTCCGCATTTTGTAGCTGAAGGCCTTCGGCCGAATGTTCAGAGCTAGTCCATTGGTTAGAGACTTGAGTAGTTCGGAACTGCACCTGCGGGTGACTGCCGATGCTCAGAGCCAGTGACTAGTTAGATACTTGAACAGTTTCGCCCCTACACCTTCGAGTGTTCCTTTCTGATTGTACTCCCTTGGGATTTTTCCCCTGAATGCCAAAGTGAAGTTTTGCTACTTCGTGTAAGCCTTGGTTGTAAATTCAGGTTACGCTGCAGCAGGTGCCTTGAGGGTAACCCCTGTAGTATTTCTGGGAATGACAAGTGCCTGAGAATTCAAACTCTTCAATAGACTGTTGTTGTGTTACTGGAATGTTTCACAGTGAGTCCTTCAGTGTGGACCTGTGTTCTCTGCGCGTTTTGTGAGTTGAGAGTGTTGTTCACCGCGTCTGAGTGACTTCGATCCGAAGTAGGTAGTCCAAACCGGGTTTCCTACACTAGCAGCAAGCTAGTGGAAGCGTTGTAAAAGCCGGAGTTGGAAGTCACTACCCGCAGCTTCGCTGAGTGTACTCTTGAGAGACTTCCCCCCT